TAATGATATGGTTCCATTTGGGTAAATGTATATTAATGTGGTTGCATTTCGGGTGAATGTGTATTGATGTCGTTCCACTTCTGGTAAATGCATATTATTGTGGTTTCATTTCGGGTAAATGCGTACTGATGTACTATTTCGGGTTAAATGTATGTATTGCTGTGGTTCCATTTCTATGTCACAAAGCACGGGACTTGAAGAGTTAAACTGTCTGCGACCTTTCGCTGTTAGTTCCCAGGTTCAAGCGTTGGTCTCCGGCATACAGAAAAACAACCCCCCCCCACACCCCCTCCCAAACAAACAGATACAGAACGACATTGTCAGGACGTACTGGGGATAGCAACGTCCAGAACACACTGCAGACAAATAAACAGATACAAAACAAATACAATAAACAAATGCAAACACAAACTCGAGGCCCACTTATGGAGAACAACGAGAGACCGGGACCGGAAGTACTATGGACGAGGCCACAAGAGGTTGCCGCTTACCTGTGTGCCTGCGGCAGACTGCCGCCCTCCTGACAGAGGCCAGCCAGAAGAAGAAGAAGAAACACAAACTCACAAACGTGACATTAACTGCTAAGAAGAACTGCTCATCTTGTCTCAGCTCAGAAATGAGAAGAACACCGACATATAATGGTCAAAATTTGTTGTTGGGGGAAAAACAGCAAGACACATAGGAAACTGAAACAAAAGAGGGGTCATAAAGAAGCAGAACTGCCCCCACCCCTTCCCTACCCTACCCACACCCCACCATAGGCGGGAAGGCACTGCCCATCTCGTCTCACTTCAGCAGAACGAAGAACATCGATGAAATAATGGTCAGTTGGTGTCGGACAAAAGCAAGACACACAGAGGATAGAAACAAAATAGGGTTCGCTTGTAAAGAAGTAGGACCTACAAGCAGAGAGTGTTTATTGAAATAAAACTCTCTGCTACAAGTGGCACCTTCCACTCCAACCACCAACACGGTGGAACTGTGGGTAGCGCCTTAAGTGACAAAACCTTCAAACAAGCATACGATCAAACAAACAAACCAACAAACAAAGGAACAAACACACAAACGAACAAACAAGCACACTCACCGAGATGACGCTGTCCGGAGCAACAATAGGCAGGCCCACGTGACCGATCCATCCCATCCCTCCCTCGGGCTGCTCCTCCACACACTCGCTGTCCGTGCTGTCGCTCAGCTCTGGAAGGGGGGAAAGAGAAGAAACGAATTAAAAACATTAAAATACAGCTGAACCTATGGCCAGAGCTTGTCGTCAGAAGCAGTGGTGCCTCCACGGTCGGTTGCCCCAACCACGGGATAGAAGAAGAAGAAGAAGAAGAACCTCCCCTACAGGCAATCTGTTCAAGACAATCGCTCAGTTCTGGGCAGGGGAGAAGAAAAGGAAAAAATTAAACGTTCAAATACAGCTGAACCTACCCGCCCTATCTGTAACCTGTCCAGGACAATCGCTCAGTTCTGGGCAGGGGAGAAGAAAAGGAAAGAATTCAACATTCAAACACAGCTGAACCTATCCGCCCTAACCTATCTGTTACCTGTCCAAGACAATCGCTCAGCTCTGAAAAGGGGGATGAAGAGAACAAAAGAATGAAAAATTCAAATACAGCTGAACCTGTTCTATCGACAACCTGTCCAAGACGATCATCAGTTAAAAACAACCACTTTCACGTCCTTACTTTCGTTTTAGTAGAGTTTTTACGGCGCTCACAACTGCATACGGTCATGTGAGCGCCAAGGGGTGGATGTCAACAGAGAAGTCCATACAGGGAATCAGACCCACTCTGCCCACCTCTCCAGCCACAACAGCACAAAGTCTGTTTCGACTATCACGGCATCCCGGAAATAGAGGGTCACAAGAGTGTGACAAACATACAAAAGAAGTTGAGGAAAATTGTGATAGTAAGGATTAGGAAAGAAAAAGCAGCAGTTCCCTGTTGCAGTTCAGGCAAAGTTATGAGCATGACATTGATGAATCAGTCCATTTACAATTCTACTGTACATAAGAACATGTTAACGTTCCCCCTTTGGGAATGGTCTAAAGACACTTCAGTCAGTAGCACCGCCCCGTGGGGTGAAAGAGAAGAAAAGAATTAAACATTAAAATACAGTTGAACCTGCTCTTTCGGCGACCTGTCCAAGACAATCGCTGAGCTCTTGAAAGGGGGAAAAAGAGACAAAAGAAGGAACAATTCAAATACAGCTATCCACAACCTGCCCAAGATGATCATCTGTTAAAAACAAACACTTTCACGCCCCCATATTATGCGTTTTTTGTACAACATAATGCCATTGCCCACGACGTCCACCTGCCTAAGACGACCGTTTCTGGCCTAAAAAATGGGTGGCCATCATGGACGACATCGGGTGTAGGTTTTATTTTTTACGTTTCCAGTTTTTTTCCTCTTGCGTTCTGTTCTGGTTTTAGTAAGAGTATTACGGCGCTTGCAACACAATAAGGTCATGTAAGTGCCTAAGATCAGAGGCGTTACAAGAGAGTAACAAACATAAAAAAAGAAGGAGGAGAGATCAGGACGATAGAGGTTTGATAGGAAAGAAGGAGCAAACCACACTAGAGCACCCGCCAACCATTCACTCCTTTGCATTCCAAATGTTATGCAAGAGAACATAAATAAGTACAAAAACGACTTTCGTTTAGTTTAAAAAGAACAAATGCAAGAGAACATAAGTACAAAAACGACCTTCGTTTAGTTTAAAAAGAACAAAAAGAAGCACTTCGACAAAATCACGGTCTTTCAGCCTAAGGTAAAGGCAAGATAGGATCAAAACAGGGACATTTACACAAGC